CTACTATCAATTACAAGGCGAAATCAGAAATGACACTTGTCATTTTCTGGTTAAAAATTTTCCCGCCTTTATTTTCTTTTCTTTTTATTTTATTTTTTTGCCACATTTTAATGATATCCATATATATTATAACCTACAATAATACTTATTTTCATTTTTACAACATATTTAATCCAATTATACTCATAAACTAATATACCAATCAAATCAAATCAAATCAAATATATACCCATAAACTAACATAAGAAAATATATACCCATAAACTAATATAAGAAAATATATACATAGTAAATATATATATCAACCATATCGTTCACAAAACAAAAATAATGTGAAAAAGCAATATAAAATCTAAAATATTCTAATATATTTTTTATACTCCACAATACTATCTAAATATAGTTTTATTTGTATTTTATTTTTATATATATCCATTTAACTTTAAATATTAATTTTATATGCATGATTAACAATGGATAAAAAAATTTAATTTTTCATATTTACATAAGATATTTACACTATATAAAAACCATATTTAAATCTTTATTATACTGTTTAACCATAATTTTCATTCATTTATGGCTGGAAATTTAGTATTCATCAAGGACATAAGTCCTACTACTATAAATGTAACCTTGCGAGTTACAATCATCCGTTTATGGGTACAATGATTCTCCAATCCTGCTGATATCTATTCTATTGAGATGGTATTGTTGTTTTAATTAAAAAAAAAAATTAACATACAGTGACCAATTGTATTTTTGTCAATCTTTTCTTTTCTTTTTTTTTTTTTTTTTTATATATAATATATCAAATTTTTCTGTTGGAAAAAGTAGTGGGGAATACAAGCCTACTAATCATTCATACAAGATAAATTTTCAACGTTCTACCAGCGTAATTGCCTTTGCTGGAGCGAACACAAATGCTTATGGTTTCGAATTGGTGAGCTTTGATGCAATTCTTTCAAATAATCTGGATAGCAACTGTTTAGTAGGTATGATATAATTTCCTTAAAAAGAATTTTAATGTATAATGTGATCATTGGGTTTTTTTTTTTTTTTTTTTTTTTTTTTGGAAGATGTTCTAACAAATTTTCAAAAATATGTTCTTTGTATAATAGATGTCATTGGCTATATTTATGGAATTTTAAGTAGTGATGATTATTCAAAGAATGACAAAAGAACGAAGGTGATCACTGCACTATTCAATTAGAAGACCTGCAGTAAGTACATTTAACCATTAAGATATTAAATAATTAATAAAGAATGGAAATATTGAATTAATGATATTTCTGTTTTTTTTTTTTTTTTTTTTTTTTTTTTTTTTTTTTTTGACAAGAATGATATTTCTGTTTATTGAATTCAGAAATAATGTTTTAAGATGCACTTTATGGAATCGATATGCTGATCAATTACAAAATTATTTATCTAAGCATCCAGACCGTCAAGTTATTATCTTATTACGGTTTGTAAAAATTAAGACTTGACAAGGTATACAAAATATTAACGTTGCGGGTTTTTGTTTTGACACCAATATTAGTACTATCTATTATATTCATGTTTATTAATTTTTATTTACTAACAGGTATTACCATGCTATCAACTTCCCTATTTGCGACAACACTCTATATAAATTCTAATATTGATGAGCTAGGTATATGATTTTTTTTTTTTTAATATGCATATTATTATTCTTGAAAGAGTATATATTATATCGAAAAGTATTATTATAAGTTATACAACAAAATAAATATTGATTAGTTATACAACAAAATATATATTGATTGATACATTAATTTTGCATATTTGATAAGGGTGGAAGGACTTCTTCAAAATTGGTGACCGACATAAGTAGTTATATCTCACAAAAAAAATGAGAGTGACTTTTTAAACAAATCTGAAAGAAAAACAGTTGATGAGATACGTTATACACAAGAGGCAAGTGCTCAATGCTACTATTTTCTTTTACAGTTATGATGCGGAAACATATTGTTTAAAATTATAGTATGACAAAATTTTATTATTATAAATATTATTTTATACAATATTTATTTATTTATTTAAACTTTATGTGACAATCTCTTTCACATGTGGGTGTATATCTTCCAAGGCCAGTTTTTACTTTTTTTTGACAAAAGCGCCAGTTTTTACTCATGGTCAACTATATGTTGCAATATCAAGGGTTACAAAAAAAACATGGCTGAAAATTTTAATATGTGATAAGGAAGGTAAGACATATAATACTACTCAAATATAAAGAAGTGTTTCAAAATGTGACATGAGGTAATTTTTTTTTATTTTTTATTTTATTAATATACTTTGGTAAATTTGAAAGTTCTTTTCGTTCACTTAAATTTGGAATTTAAAACACGTGATACATAATGGAAGAATTGTACAAGCAGCAAAAGGAACAATGCTATGGGTGCCAATACTTCTACCGGTATTACTTTCATTTCATTAATTATAAATATGATTTTTATACTTCCAATAAGATCACATGTATACCCTCAAAAAAAAAAAATCAATAGAATGATAGAGAAAGTGATAGTAGAATAAATGAATGATGAATAATGTAGGGTCATTGGCTTAATTATCATCTCGAATATATATGTTAATTACTTTTTTTTTTTTTATTGGAGGGAATTACCACTCATTTCCTTATCTATATTGATTAGATGCTATTGTTTAATTTTTTCTATGTTAAGTGCTATTATACCCTCTTTACGGACCTGCCCCTATTTCTCCTCAATAATAATAAAAAAAATATTTTAAGATAATGCATTATACGGCAAGTAACAATTAAAATTCTTAAGCAATGGTAAAAGATTTAAGAAATGGTCAGATTTAGGTCCATGCAAATTATTATTCATTTATAAAACGTTATTGTCTAAATTATTTTGTCCTTATAAATAAAATATATGTATTAATGTATATATTTATAAGAATGGTTAAACATTTACTAATGTAACTTCTAATTTTCCGTAAAAAAAATTAACAATATCCATTACAAAGAGGTCTTATATAATAATAATAATAATAATAATAATAATTCAATTGTATCTGTTCATGGCAGGAGTCTTACACTAGTATAACATTATAAGGAATTAAGGATCCTGGTAAAAATCAATCAACTTGTGAAAATATTTACGTAGTACAACTTTTGATCTTATTTTCTCCAACTTGGACCTGTTATATGTTGTGTTTGTTATCTACTCCCTCCGTCCCTTATTTTTTGCCCCATTGCAGATATATGGGTCATATTTATAAAACTTTGACTATGAATTCTCGTTAATCTATAAGTGATAATATATTAATGTGGGATCTTATTAGAATCGTTTCATTGTATATTTTATTAATATCAAATATTTATAATTTTCATGCATATGGAAATTGAGATAAATACGTTTAAACACGCGTCTTAGAGACCGTAAAAAGTCAAATGGAGCAAAAAATAAGGGATAGAGGGAGTAACACGTAGTAAATTTTAAGCTACTATTTTTCTTGCTTCTAAGAAATTTTTTTAAATTTTTTTTATTGAGCAAGTATCCAAGTTGATACTCCATTACATGCGCAAAAATTGATTGTTGCTTGATAAAACTCCGTACTATATATATGAAGTATGTGATTCTTTATGATTTGATATGACAATATTGTTGATTGAGTATATAATTAATTTAGTTTACTTTATTTGAATCATGCATGACTTTGGCCTGATTCGGGGGCATGACTTTTGCTTGATGTTCTTGAAATCAACCTTGATATGCTTGTCAAAAAAAAAAAAAAGAAAAAAAAAAGAAAAAACCAAACCTTGATATGACAATATTGAATATTTTTTTTGAAGTATTTTTCCTTTATTTGGAATAGTGCACTCCAATATTCCTTTTGACATTTCATCGAGAACTTACAACAAGTTACAATATGTTTAATTAATCTTGTAAATATTGTTTAATTACATTTGAAACTATGTTAGTAATATTGCAATCACTTTTGAGTCAATTCATACACTTTTCTTTAATCACATAGTGTAATTTATACGTAAAAAAAAATATGATCACATGAGTCTTGTTAAATTTGCCTCGATGCATATTTGATGATATCGAGTTTCTATTTTTGTATAATTTATAATTAAACATATTTAATGTTTAAATTGTGCTTTGAGAAGTTTAATCCCCTCATGTTATAATATTAAAAGATTAGATAAAGTATATGCTTGTAAAAGTATTGGATGAGACGTTTTGTATAGTGAATATGTGTTTAATGTAACATACAATCTAAAACATCTCTGAAAGCCAAAATTAGAGACTTATTGTCCAAAATTATAGACTCATTTGCCAACATGTAACTTAAAATATGAGACTTTTGCATGTCACTAGTCACCACACACCATCTTATTTTGCTAAGGATTACGTTTTAATTATACTTTTTGTAATACGTAGTAACATTTTTACTAGATGTAATGAGAGGAAAAGGAAAGGAATAAATGGAAAAAAAAAAAAAAAAAAAAAAGTGAGCTGAAAATAAAGTTTGGTAAAAGTTCTATCTAGAAATGACCAAAATTTCGTTTAATTAAGAAATGAACAAACTTTGTTAAACAAAATTAGTAATTTCAAATGTGCATTAATGAAGTTGAATAATATTAAAACACCAAGGTTATAAAAATGGCTAATGTTCTCAGCAGCATGCAGAATATATATACTAGTATTTATTTTGACAGAAGGATGGAGCAGAGCATATAGATGATTGCTAAACTTTGACGAATATCTGTAACGATAAAAGTAGAATGAATTAAATAAATAGTCAAATAAAACTCCTACCACTTACCAAACACAACTTGTCATCACATGCTATGGCATCTTTCATTTCCCATTGTTTAATAGACTTTGTCAAATTATACTTATTATATTGATATATTTCATAATTGGTTAGTTGGTTACTAATATTATTCAATTTATATAAATTATATTCTACATGTCAATAAAACGCCAAGGTTATGAATTTGATTGTAAATTTGTGAAGGTTATGGTACTTTTTCTAAATATGTGGTTTACCTATTCTTATTATTGTAGATGTCGTATGACTATTATTTAATGATATTATTACTTTCCGTTCAAAAAATAAAACACCAAGGTTGCCAATACCTCTATCTTATTCCCGGGTATACCTATAGTTAGATGTATTTAAGGGTATTTTTGCTCATTTTATCAGTTTTGGAGAATTTAAATAAGCAAAACTAATAAATCAAGCAAAAAAAGATACATTAAAAAAAAAAAAAACCTAATTTTAGATTAAATTGCTTCCAATTTGAAATACATAAATCTTATAGACTTATATTCTTGCACCAGAATTTCTGAACTATCATGTCAAATTAACATACTAAATTTAATCAAATTGAACCCAAAAGCATTTGCAGTCCTGCAACAGTATAGTTAAGAAGCAAAAATGAAACTTGCTGACAAATATACAAAAAATATCTGAATACCATAGTATCAGAAGATTTTAGCTTAGAAATGAATATGGCCTCAATCAGACCTGTTCACATACTTTCCAAAGGTTACATACTAATGTCTTAATCTTCTTTACTATCCTGAGAGTGCGGAAAATATGTGCAAATAAAAACATTGGAAGATTTAGTGCGCAAAAACAATGCAGATATCAGCTTCGATCAGGAACAAATCTTTCTTCAGTTTGAGTCATATATGTGCAAAAAACTAAGATGAAACTTGGCTTTAGTGATGAATGAAGATATCAAACATCCTATAAACCACTCGGATCTTCAGCAGATCTCTTGTATTCTGGTTTCAATTCATAGCTCCCTTGATTAGATCCCTTGTTGTTGTACACACAAAGGTCTTTCAGTAAATCTTTCATGAATTGCTGCACAGAAACAAGAGTAAACACATGAGCTGATATGTCCTTGTCAGAAAAGATTCTTGTATGTCACGGTGTCACCTAACTATCGAGAGGCATAAAAATCCAAGTAATTTGACCATAAACATCTGGTTGATTCTCACAAATTCTGTCTTCCGGGTCAAAAAATTTATTACGTAGTATTTTTTTAAGATAGGAATACTTAGGAGAAATTTAACACGGTAGAACCCTGAAGTGCAAATCAAACATACAACTGAAACAGTTGCAGTTCTAATATCTGAAGATCCGCCATAAGATGTACTCAGCTTAATTTTCTTTTAAATAAGACATATAGGCCTATGTTAGATGCCCTTATAACAGCTCCAAGGAGTTCCAAACCCCATGTATTTCAACGTATACAACCCTTTTGATAAGCACAGACCTTGACCTTGTAAACTTGTATGAATAAAAAACTTGATGGCCTGGGGTCACAGCACTTTTCCCATCCAGAGTAACACATTTCAAGGGAGAAATTGGCCAAATTTCATGAAAAGTATAATACGTTGAGTCCCAAAATTAATTAAATAGGGAAAAGACATTAAAATAACGGGACAAAATCTATAAAAAGCATTAGACTAAAAATCAATGTTTTATCAATGTAGAGAACCTAACATAACACAAAATAAATAACTTTAATATAAAACCATTTCTGACAGTAAGAAGGAAAGAAAGTGTACGTCCACATCTAGGTATTTAAGCAAGAAACAAACCTCAGGTTGATCCGTCTTCTGGACCAGCTCTTTAAGTGTCCAGTTGGATTGCTGTTCAAATAGTTTGAACATTATGTCTTCCATCTCTCCTCGATCCCTCCTAATTCTCTTAGTTTCAGATCCTTTAACAACCACTTTCTTCTTCTCCTGTAACAGAAACAATCTTTTAAGATGAAATGACAAGCTAAAAAAGCAAAAGAGAAAAGGCAAAGGGAATAGCATAGGATTACACGCACAAAAGAAATATTGACAAGGTAAAGTACAAGAAAAAACTTGTTCAACCTGAGTATGAGTGATCCCTGGCATAGGTATTATAGGCCTGTCATTGCCAATCACCTGGTTTGTAAACAGCACATCAGCCGATGGAAGAATTGATTCATAAGGAGCATAGGAAAAAAAAAAAATCAGATCAATCAATAAAGAGGATGTTACAAAGACCTGAATCTGTCTAGTCTTCGTCATGGATCTGTCTGTTCGTTCACGACATAGTTTACCATAGCTCTCAATTGCATCATAGTGAGGCTTCATGTCAAATTTGTTATAAATTTTCCCTTCAACACTTATATTTCCTGTAAGTAGTGGAGAGCAGTCATAATAGGTACATTATAATGGCTGTTCTGACCATCCTAAATACAAAGTCTAGATCACAAGACATTGGACATGAATACAAAAACAACAGAGTAAATTAATTCAAATTTTTTTTTGTAATGATTTCAAGCTAAAATTTCTGCCATGACATTAAACAAATCAGGCTATAAACTACGAATATCTGTGGGAAGGAACCATGGCATGTTTTAATTTCATTTCAAAGGAGATTATTAAGTCTAAATTTCTAGCTTAGATATCTTCAGATAATTTTTAGATGGTCAACCGGCCATTTAGCAGGATTACAAAATAGAAAATTGTATTATATCATAAATCTTAAAGTATTCCATGAAATCGATTAGATTCTATTTCTCTAACCGCAGAGTATTTTCATTAAAAAAACCTTAAATAAAAGAACATTCTCCCACATAAATTAACAGAGGCATACATACTCCATACTACATAGACACAAGTTTCTGACGATTGGCTACAATTAGCAAATATATTCTGAATTTTCCCAATTACTTTCCTCATAACAGAGAATTTATGCTGTTCAGATTTCAGAACATGACAAATTTGTAACCAAACAAACAAAAGACATTGTGCAGAGAGTAGACTGCACATAATTTAATGCCAAAATATGTATTTTTCAAATCAGGAAAAAGTTGGCTTATAGTAGCACCAATATGCTCTAGAAATTAGGTCAAAATAAACAGATTAGCCTATGTACTCACCTTCGTTCTCTGAAAAGACAGACATTGGAACAATTTCCTTAGACATGTCCATAGAGAAACGCTTAGGCACATTTCCCAAATCAGAGCCAGACAATTCCATGGTGAACTGATCATAATGTAAACATGTATCAAATTTTAGAATAATGACAGCAAAGGAGACAAACAAATATGAAATCCCGTGAATTCTCCTGACCTGCTTAAGTGAATATACAAATGAATATTATTCAATTAACGTTCTCATTTTGTCATTCACTCTTTAAATCTTCCTCCGTCTCTAAACAATAGACCACATTCCTACTTAATTAAGTTTAAGTTTTAGTTTCCATCAATACCATACTCAAATCAAGAACCCTGAAAAGTTGATAGTGAAAGAAAGTTGAAAAATTTATATTCGATTTGTCAAACCCTCAATCGTATGTGACATATGAGTTGGGATGGAGACTGGAGACATATAAAGTGAGTAGGAATACTTCGAATTCAATTGTACAACAGGATATACAGACAACCAAACAAAGGAGCCATAACCATGCATCCATGGAAGAAACAAGAATCCAAAGTAACTCAATGTGCAACGGAGGACAAAATCTAAAAAGACCTGTTCCGAGTGTCAGTAAAATTCTTAAATATATCTTTGGACTAATAACATAGTCTAACAATACCAGGTGCTGGTATCAACTAGAATAATGAAAACTGAACTCCTTAGCCCAAATACTTGACATAAAAATAAAAAAGAAATAAAGAAAAAAGAAACAAAGAAACAAAGAAAGAAAAAAAAAAAAAAAAGAACAGGTATCATCAACTAGACTAATGATAAATTTTGATTCCTAAAACAGGTCCCACAGTGTCTACACTTTTTAAAATAAAGAAAAAAGTGTAGAAACTCATCCATAAGCTGATTAAAACATAATGTCAACAATTTCATAGAGGTCTACTGTTTTACATAAAGATTAGACTAATGATAAATTGTAGATTCCTTAAGAGAATGAAGACTACTCCTTTGCCATTATTAAAACATTATAAATGTATGAAATCAACAATCATCAATAAATAATGTAATGTAATTTAATGTCATCAATACTTTCTAAAAGTTATTTATCCAATCAGCTCAAGCAAAGAAGCATATTATATGATACATTACACAGTAGACGCCCATAAAATCACTCTGCAAGAAACTGCACAAAAAAAGGGGAGAAAATAATCAAAAGTATAAACACGGTACGCTTGGGGTTCCATGGCACAAATGATCTGGAACAAAATACATGTTCCTACGTTCATCCCGGAAACTAAGTATCCTAATGTTTTCCGTCTCATTCCATTTGTTTGCAAGTCCACAAACCGGAAGACTTAACAGTTAATGGTATTATCAGCACACATTTAGGTGCTGTAATATCATCAAATCCTCCAACGACACCAACCCATATCAAACCATGTGAGTGACTAACTTGGATGATTTTTTGGGACCATATACAATCCCAATTATTCCCAAATCACAAACTCCAAGCACATACTTTTATAATATAAGGTCCCAACAAAAGAAAAGACACAAGGACGACGAAAATGCCCTCCATCAAACAAAGCAATATAATCCATCTCCTCTCCACAATAAAGGACACAAAATGCAGAGTACACAATCAACCAAGCAACATCAAATGTCGTACAGGTTTGGAGACGTCCAAATGTACGCACCTACTCGTTCTTGACAATGATCATTCCCTCTATATTCTCCTAAGTCCTAAGTACAATAAATGTAATTTATGTAAAACATATATCCAATTGTACAAGAATTACAACAAGGGTTACGAATATATTATCCTTCTGATACATAACATACACCGTCTTACACTACCAATGCAACATTATATCATAATAGTTCATTTCTTAACACTAACTACAATACTAATGCAACTTCATCTAATTACAATCTCAATTCAAAATAAATTTCAAAAATTGCTAGAATTAAATGTACATAACCATCATCATTTTCCTGACAACAAATCTTTCTTCCTCAAACCCCAGAAAAAGGCCACCCTTGAAAATTCATCAAAATTATTAAACCAACATTATAATTGAAATAATTCATAAAACAAAAAAGAACCCAGAAAAATATAAAGAAAACTAAACCCACCCATTACCCTTCGCCAAGAAATTAGTACACATTAAAACCCTAGAATCAAATTTCAAATTAAATCAAACAATTCCCAAAATGCAAGAAATTACAAAATTAAAAAAAAAACAGAAGGAACCCTAAGAAATGGCGGCAATGCAGGAGCAGAGAGAGACGAAACCTGACGAATAGAGGGATCTTCAGGGTCTGAGCAAAGAGGATCAATGGAAACGATAACTTTAGCAACAGGTAAATCGTTGGGAACAGAGGAAGATTGAAGAGCGCGCGAAACAACAGAAGGGCATTTCATCAACCACACTGCTTTATCTGCCTTGCTTGTGTCTACGTACCCAGCACTACCACCTTCCTCCATTGTTGCAGATTTCTGAAGAAATTTGAGGAAAGAGAAAATGAGAGAGAGTGGCAATGGCGGATTGGTGGGTGTTGTTAGGGAGTGTGATGTAAAAAAGGGTGAGATTGTTGGTTTGCCAAAATTGCCCTTGACCTTAAAAAAAAACACTCACACTCTCATCACTCACACTCTCATTGCTCATCTTCTTTCAACCTCTCTAAAAAAACAAAAAAATTCAAAATAACGGCAATGTCGAGGCGGCAAGGCAAGGAAGTGGCGGCGGCGGCGGCGGAGGGAAGGATGTCCCAAGGAGGAAAGGTATATTTTGTTTAAAAAAAAAAGGGGAAAACCGCCGTGAACGCGGTGGGGCGCCCTGGCTGGACGCCCAGCCAGCGGTGGTGGCGCCAGATGCAGACGCCGCCACCAGTTGGCTGGCGCCTGGGCTGGACGCCACCGCCACGGTTGTGGCTTTTATTCTAGGCGCCGCAGCCGTGGCTGTGGCGTCCAGCCCAGGCGCCAGCCAACTGGTGGCGGCGTCTGCATCTGGCGCCACCACCGCCGGCTGGGCGTCCAGCCAAGGCGCCCCCCCCATTTTTATTTTTATTTTTTTATTTTTTTATTTTTTTAAAAACTTGTTTTTAATTTTTTTTTTTTTTTTTTGGTAATATAATTTTGAATTGTTTTTATATTTTGTTGTTTATTTTTATAAATTTTTTCAATTTCGTTGTATTTTTTCTACGTTTATATTTTGTTTACAATTATTTGTATGTTTTTAGTTTATTTGATTTGCGATGATGATTATTTATCGTATAAATTTTTGTATGTTTATATATTTTAAAATTTTGTGTAGGGTCGTCATGGTGGGGGGAAGAATATAGAGCTTCTTAGTAGAAGTTATTCAGTGGAGAGGTCGGGGCATAGACATGTCAGATCCCGTGGTATTTCGGCCTCAGTTCGTAGAGAACGGATCCACCGTCGGGATGAGGATGACGATGACGATGATGATGCTGAGGAGGGTGACCAGGAGGAGGAGCAGGAGGAGGGCGCAGATGAGGATGAGGATGTGGACGATGGCAGTGGACCGTATGATGATTACGGTCCATTCAGTCAGAGGGTTGATGACATGTACGAGACGCATATGGTGGAGGTGCGTAAGGGTAGGGGTGGTAGGTTTGTTAGTAGATCTGGCACATCATCTGCGTCCACTGTATCTGGGGCAAGCAGGAAACGGTCGAGGGCGGGTAATGATTCTTGGGTTGTTAGGAGTGAGGTGCCCGGTGGGCCTGTTGACGGGAGTGTGATTCCTAGCTTTCTAGGACACATAGCTGCCCGTATTTGGGAGGACCAGGAGAGGCCTTCAGTTACGGGGTTGTTGAAATGTCATACCCGGGAAAAGACTTGTAGCTTTTTGCGTACATGGGCTGAGGCCTGGCCGGCGGAGAGCGAGATGTTCGAGCGACTGGAGGGCACTGGGGTGAAGCACGTTCCTGCCACCATGCACGATAAGATTGACAGTACGCTGATCACGGCTTTCATTGATCGATGGCAGCCGGATACAAACTCTTTTCACCTTCCGTTCGGTGAGATGACGATCATGTTACATGACGTCGAGGCCATTCTGGGGATTCGTGTTGAGGGTAAACGACTTTGTGCTGTGGCTGATGCGGATCAGGCAGATTCGCTGGCGGAGTTGTTGGCGGTGGACAGGGCTGCACTGTACACCGAGGCGCTAGGTGTTTGGGAACACGGAGGTGTGAAGATCGCATCCGTGTTGCAGCGGTGTTTGTACCCGAGTGCACGTAGGACGCCCGACGCACAGCTGAGTGCTTATGTTTTTCTACTCCTCGGATGTACCTTGTTTCCGGATAAGAGCGGCGGAAACAAGCTCAGGACACGCGACATCGTAGAGGCGTGTGACCCCGACAGTGTAGGCCAGTTTTCCTGGGGATCGGCTACGTTGGCGTATTTGTATCGCCAACTAGGATTTGCGAGTCGGGCTGACGCGGCAGGTATCACTGGGTGTCTGACTCTATTGCAGACTTGGATATACGAGTACTTTCCTGCATTGCGACCACATCGTGACCCAGTTCCTATTGATGAGGGGATGCCGCGTGCTTGTGCGTGGAGTCCGCGCTCGGAGAAGAAGTCCGTTGACCGCCTCCGATCGATACGGTTATTGCTGGACAGGCTGTCCCCCTTAGAGGTAACGTTTATTTATAGAGTCTACATTTTATTATTTGCACATATTATATTCATGTTATTAAATTTTATATGTTGTAATTGTACAGGTGAACTGGATGCCTTTCGGCCCGAACCCTAGTGTTAGGGTACCCAGGACCCTGTACACGGGACTCATTCAGTATCGTGACATCGTCGAGGCGTACATGCCCCAGCGTTGTCTTCGCCAGCTTGGATTTGTCCAAGTTGTCCGCCCTCTGGGGTTACTCCCATGTGTGACCATTACTACATGGAATGGTTCAACCGGTATTCGCACCCGAGGTTGATCGCTGATCTCGACCACAGCGATGATGATTATGTGCCACCGCCTACTGCCACGGAAGCGGTATGTCTTTTATTATATTTATCGTTGTAGTTTAATTAAGTTTTATTTGTTGTTATTGTATTTCATCTTCTGTTTTTTGTTGTATGCAGTGGATGGGAAAGATAATGCAAGACGTTCAGAAACTCTCTCTTGAGAAGGACAGCATGAGTGCAACAGGGAGAGCTGTTGTTAATAGTCTGGAACAGACCCTTGCGCAGTGGGAGTCGTCGTCGAGGAGGGATTACTGATGGTTATTGTATTTTATTTATAGAGCATTATGTTGGACATTATGTTGTAAAATTGTAACATTTTAGATTGTTCTTTTAGCTTCCAACTTAAACATATTATCAGTGCTGTTTTTAAATTTTGATATAACCGTTCGTGGATCCGCGCAACTTACCCATGCAACATATAGAATGCAGTAAGCAATACAATATAAAATATTAATGTTCTCATTAAAAGAGCAACGTACAAATAAGATTACAAATAAAGAATGTAAACAAGAAAAACTAAAATGCAGCTAGGGTGTTCCATTCGTGGATCCGGTCATTATATAGCGCATCCCAACCCTCTACGCTCGCTGTGCGAATGTTGTACCACCGAGGTATAATCGGTGGCACCGGAAAATCGGTTGACATGTCTAGTCGGATGAAATGTCTGTATGACGACCCAAGAAACGCAATAGCTAGCTCTCTGACCGGTGTGGTGACAGTCTCACGCGACCGCCAAGGGAGAACCGTGGTACAAGGATAATAAGCTTGACTATGCACTCCCAGGCCGAAATGCATGACTGCGCATTTGTAAATGTTTGCAACGGCAAACAGATCTAGGGGCGCGTCAAAATAATGATTTTCGCCGCAAGGTCCACCTCCCCACCGGATACGCCGGAGAGCGCCATCCAAGTCATCCTGGTACACATGACGATAAACATTTCGGTTAGAGGCAATTTCGCTGTACATCAACTCACGCACCAAACCGTAGTTGTCTTCGCCCATTTGAAAAACATCAGCCACGACCCGGAATCCGCTGTTACCATCTCCGATTACATCATTCCACCCTTCCAAGTATGACATGATGATCGCAGGTATCCTTTCCTTGTACGGAAACTGATCAACATCGTTTCTTCCTATTCACCAAATAATTAATTATAGACAGTTAAGAAGACAGGAGTAACACTTTAAAACTATGTGCAATAAAAACAACCAAAACGTACCAGTTCTCAGGGGCATATTCACAGACGATGAAGATTGACTACGACTAGATGACGATGTCCGACCACGAGAACGACCACGACCAAGACCACGGATATACTCAAACGCACTCCTGTTCCGCCGTTGTCGACCTCGAGGACGGTCAACTCCTTCGGGTTCCTCATAATCTAAGTTAGACGGGTGGAACATGTCATGAAGCACATGAGTAGCGTCACGAATAATAGAAGGATGGCTGGAGGACACTCGGTCGTACATCGAACGGAACTGCTCCAACTCTTCCTGTTCACGTCGGCCGTTTGATTGTCTGCATGCTCACCAATAACAAGCGTCCTCCAGAATGAATGGACCTGATCAACATGTAACGACGCCCTTTCTTCTGTAATAACGCGATGAATGGTGCATGCGCAAGGTAATCCATGAGTTACTGAAATAGTACACCCACACCGAGTATACACTTCGTCAGCCAAGTCCCTCACCCTGTTCAGCTCAGTGAGAATCAACCCCAAGCAGTAGTGCGACACACGACCATGGAGAATCTTAAATATAAAATGGCTGTACATCGTACCATGTCGTCGTCTGGAGTCCTCTAGAGAGTTCCTGATGTCGTTCTTCTGAGTTTCAATTGACTTGTTCAGTCTAGCGAACAGTGTATCCAAAGCAGCGGTCGATGAATCAATCCAGTCCTTGGTAGCTCTATGAGCGCTCTCAACTCTACATGTTGTAGTGTTCCCAAAATGAAGTACCTGGTTTGTCCAATATTTGACAAACTTTTCCCTGTGAGGGACCCATTGATGCATCACATAGTCCACCAGTGCCGGACACCACTGGTACGAATCCCTGAAGTTAGCCAATGCTCGCTCATACGCTTCCTCTGTGGTAGCCTGTAGGATCTTCCGCCACTTACCATTCACCAATCTCTCTGCCATTTCCAAATTCTTATTGAAAAGGTTGTAGGCTTTCACTTTCACGCAGTTGTTGATGTGCCATGTGCACAATAAGTGGTTCGATTCGGGAAACAGCTCTGCTATGGGGGCAAAGAGACCTCCCTCACAGTCGCTGACGATGGCTGCTGGATGAACATTAGGCCCGATGTAGTTTCTCAGCTTCTCCAAAACCCAATAATAACTTGGAGCCGTCTCATCCCTGATGATTGCATGACCAATCAGAAAGTTCTGGTTCGTTGGAGCCATCCCAACCATCTCAACCAGAGGGAACTTGTACTTGTTTGTCTTGTACGTTGAGTCGATCAAAATCACAAATGGCCAAGACTTGATCATATCAGCACAATAAGGATGCACAAGGAAAAGATGAGTCACCTCCGCTGTATCTTCATCAGAATCAAACCAGAACAGGTAACCACGTGATTGTGCCTGGTGTAGCAGCTGCTGTATAGGGTTCCTTCCCTCTG